TGTAGTGAGTCACGTGAGGTACGTGTCACTTGTTGTATGACAAATATATGGATATATATTTACGCATACTTTTCACGAGTTCTTCATTTTTCTGACTGTAAATGTCGTGCATTGAATTTAACAGAAATGTAACGAGAGACGTTGTTTATCTTTGACCCATCAAATGAATGGAATCATTTATTTTCAGAATCAAAGTTTAACATCAAACATTTACATTAATTTGGCAAAATATGAAAATAATAACAGACAGTTTCACAGAAAATGAACTTCAAATCACTCGGCGGTGATTTGAGGACTTTGCTTAAGATATTTCTAAAATATCTGTACTGATTTATGAGAGAGAGGTGGGTTTTAGAGTGAAAGGAGATTATCTTACAGAGAACTGTGTGAGGGAAGTTTAATCTGTTTAACCAGAAATTGCACGCTTCGTCAGATCCTCAGCTTCTCACGGTACACTTGGTCAAAATAGAACCATCTACCTGTTGACGATGAATCAGCGCTGGATGTAGTTCCTTTCTGACTCGTTTCAGCGTCTCCGTCGAGAGCTACCAAACCTTCAGAAAGTCGTGCGTTGATTAGCTCAAAACAGAATTATAATCCCAAACGTTCCTGGTTCTTCATAACTCCAAACTCTTCATAACCGGCTGCACTCTCAATCTGCTCATTCTGTTGGACTATCGGACCTGTTGTCAGCTCTCATTCCAACATCTCTCAGAACTCTCATTCTCTTGGAATTCTGGAATCCATAATTCTCTATTCCTTCTCTTCTCTATGAACTGAGAAGTTGCCACATTTTATTTGGGTCGACTTCCTGTTCAATTTAGAGCTTTCTGATTCGTGGAAGGACCAGAAAGAGGAGTGGATTTGTGACGTAAGATGTTATCATAAGTCAAGGATTGTTTACAACATACAGAAAAGATTATTGCAGCAACAGCAGACTTCGTGGAGTCTCACACTTTGTAATCTTTTCAAATAGTAAAACATGACATTTTTCTCGGTAAACATTTTAGTTGACCGAAAACCAACCTTTAACATACTTACGACAGCTTGTTCATTTCAGACAGAAAATCAAGAAAGGCATATTCAGGTGATTTCTTCTCTGAATGAGGAACAAAAATCATTACTTACTGTTTATGTAAAAATAAAAATTAGTAGTTCTTTTCAACCTGTAAAGCATTGAGTGAACTAACACAATTTGATTATCAAAACATTTGTAAGACAGTAATGATTATAGAGGATTGTCTTTTCTGCTTGATTAATTCAAGAAAGAAAGTTCATCAGATGGTTCAGACTTATTCAGATCAATGAAAATAACAGTCTCTGTCCATCTGGTAGATTTGAGGTCATCTGGTTCACTACATCTGTCTTGCAGAGTAATGCATCAGAGAACAGAGACTTAGATCATCTAGTTGATCATCTTACAACTTCAATGCAAACTTCACTTGATAAAACTGCTCCACTGAAAAAGAAAGTAATCAATCAGAGGAAACTGGCTCCTTGGTTCAATTCTGAGTTACGTACTTTAAAGCAGCATCTAGAAACCAGGAGAGAAAATGGTGCTCTACTAATGTTGAAGAATTTTATTTAACTTGGAAAGATAGTCTGCTAACATATAAAAAAGCTCTCCGTAAAGCTAGAACTTTATATTACTCATCTTTAATAGAGGAGAATAAAAATAACCCCAGGTTTCTGTTTAGTACTATTGCTAGACTAATTAAAAGTCCCATTTCTGTTGAACCATGTATCCCTACAACTATAAGTAGTGATGACGTCATGAGATTCTTTATAAATAAAATTATTTCAATTAGAGAGAAAATTCAAACCATCCTTCCTTCTACTATCTCTAGTCCTCTGTCAAATGAGACAACTTTAAAAATTTCACAAGAGCCTGATTTATGTTTGGACAGTTTTTGTCCTGTTGAGCTCTGAATTGTCAAAAATAATAACCTCATCCAAACCATCCACATGCCTGCTAGATCCAATCCCAACCAGACTGTTTAAAGAGGTATTTCCACTAATTAATGTCCACATTTTGGATCTACTTAATTTGTCTTTAATGGATGGTTATGTACCACAGAGCTTTAAGGTTGCTGTAATTAAACCTTTACTTAAGAAGTCTGATCTTGATTCATAAATTCTGGCCAACTATAGATCTATATCTAATCTAACTTTCATCTCAAAAATTCTAGAGAAAATAGTTGCAGGTCAGTTGCGTGAACATCTACAAAGAAATAATGTGTTTGAAGAGTTTCAGTCAGGGTTTAGAGCTCATCATAGCACAGAAACAGCACTAGTAAAAGTCACTAATGATATTCTCATGACCTCAGACAATGGACTGGTGTCTCTACTGGTCCTGTTAGACCTCAGTGCTGCATTTGATACAGTTGATCACAATATTTTACTACAGAGGCTTGAATATGATGTTGGGATTACAGGAACAGCTCTAAAATGGTTTAAATCATATCTATCTGATAGATTCCAGTTTGTAAATGTAAATAATAAATCTTCTTCATACACCAAAGTTAATCATGGAGTTCCTCAGGGCTCAGTGATTGGACCAATACTCTTTACTTTATATACGATTCCATTATGTAAAGTTATTAAACAACATGGGATAAATTTTCATTGTTATGCTGATGATACACAATTATATTTGTCCATTAAACCCAATGAATCCAATCAGCTACTTAGACTACAAGCATGTATTAAAGACATAAAAAGTGGTACAGTAATCGCTCATTTATCGCGTGTGTTCTGTACCCTGCCCTCCCATGATAAGTGAAAAAACCACCAAGTAGAGATACAGTCTGTTGGACTCCTGGCAGGGACCAATGCAGACATGTTCCCGTTTTTAGTTTTCTACATTCGCCTTAGAATCTTATGATTATGATTGTCCATTGTTGTCATCATTCTTTGTTGAAATCAGGTCTCTCTTGTAAATGAGTTCTCGAGGCTCAATGGGATTTACCTGTAGAAATAAAAGTTGAATGAATAATAATCATGTAGCCTTCAAACTGCAATTTTGTATTTTCCCAATGAATTCTTCAACTGCATTGTTCCCCTATTTTTGCTCCTCATGCTAATTTTAGCCATTGTTATATAATTTTGGCATTTAGTTATTGGTTAGCTACTTTTAGCTTTAAGCAAATTGTTGCTATTTTTACTTCTCTAATAGTCTTTTTGTACTTATAATAATTCTGCTCCATTTTGTCTAATTTTTTGCTCCTTTCATTTTTTTTAGCTATTACTTTAACAACTGTTTTAGCTTCTTCGGCTACTTTCAGCTGTCCCTCAGCATTCGGCATTCTCGCTGCATTTACACTGAAATTTCATTTTCTAAATCTACCGTTAGCTGTTAGCATTTCATGTGCTGTTCCAGTTGTAGTGCAGCCCAGTGAACCGTACAGGATGATTAATATTTTCAAACCCCATTAATTCTTGTTGAGCCCTGTCAAACTGTGCCCCCCCACCCCCCCAGGTGCTGAGTAACGTGGACGAGCTGTTCGACAGGGGCGAGTTGTCGGCAGCTCCTGACCCCGGCTGGCCCGACTGCTTTAACTCGGGTGTGTTTGTGTTCAGACCATCCCTGCTCACCCACAGCCGACTCCTGGACCACGCCCGGCACCACGGCAGCTTTGATGGTAATCACCTCGCCATGCTGGGGCTCTCATGCTCAGCTACAAAACAGCCAGGCTGATTGCAAACACAGCAAATCAATTTATTCATGAAGCCCACTGAAATAAAGTAAATTAGAGTTTAAACGTTGCACAGGAAGATGGGAACGACAAGAACAAATACAGCTCTGGATGGACCTGAGTGCAGCACGGTGGTGCAACTGGTAGAGCTGCTGCCTCTCAGCGAGCAGGTCCCTGGTTCAAACCCCAGTCCGGGGGCCTTTCTGGGTGGAGTTTGCATGTTCTCTCCGTGCATGCGTGGGTTTTCTCCGAGTACTCCGGTTTCCTCCCACAGACCAAAAACATGCATGTTAGGCTGATTGGTAACTCTAAATTGTCCCTAGGTGAGAGAGAGAGAGACTGAATGGTTGTTTGTCTCTATGTGTCCCTGTGATGGACTGGAGACCTGTCCAGGGTGTACCCCGCCCTCGCACAGTGATTGCTGGACATGGGCACCGGCGACCCCCGTGACCCAAAATGGAAGAAGCGGGTAAAAGATAATGGATGGATGGACTTAAACAGCTGCTCATCTTCTGCACCCACATTCGGCTCATACTCACAGTTCACATTTGAAATGAAACGAACCACGTTCATTCAACCTTTACTTACGGTATACAGGTTAGTCTCACTGAGTCACAAGGAATCATTTTCAAGAGAGACCTGTTTTAAAGCAAAACACCACAGATGAGGTACACAGTCATAAAATGCATATAAAAATAAAAAGTAAATAAAATGAACGATGTAAAACAAAATAAAAAACAAGTTGCATTATGAAACGAGGTAAAAATCTAAAAACGTCTGCATTGATTTTTGTGGTGAACTTAACGGTTGTTTAAAATTCCTGAGAGGTCAATGTCGACAGCTTCAGATCTTTTTGTAAGGTGTTCCACGTTACAGGAGCGGAGTAGGAGAAGGCCCTTTAGCTAAGTTCAGTCCTCACTGAGGGGGCGCTGCAGGTAATGATGTCCTGAGAGCGCACGCTGTAGCTGCACTCACACAGAGACATGTAGGAGGAGATGTATGAAGGCAGCAGACCAGGAAGTGATTTAAAGATGAAGATGTACCAGTGAGAGAGTCTGTGTGAAGTTAATGGTGACCAGTTAACCAGTGAATACTGGGTGCAGTGGTGGTACGGTAGTTACAACCAGTTATGAATCTTAGTGCACCATGATAGACAGCATCCAACATCTGCAGCATCCAACATCTGCAGGGTGCTTGCAGGGAAATAATATCACCGTAATCAATAGAGGGAAGGAAAGTAGCAGTTACAAGGGGTTTCCTAACATTCAGGGTTAGACAGGATCTGTTTCTGAAAAAGAAACCAAATTTTATTTTCAATTTATTTATCAAGTTTTCGACATGAGACTTAAAAGAGAGGTGTGCGTCGACCAAGTTTCCGAATTATTTACAAGAATCGACTAACTCGATAGGAACACCATTCGTAGATGTGATAGAAGGAAGGACTGCTGGTACCGACTTCCTGTTTGAAAACGACATCCCTTTGGTTTTATCTGCATTCAGCACCAGTTTGAGACGAAACAAGTCAGACAGAATGGTGTTGAATACAGACTGTAAAACCTTAGCAACTGATTTAGCTTGACAATAAACAGCTGTGTCGTCAGCACAGAAATGCAAGGATGCGTCAGGAATGATCTGCTACATAACTTATGTATATTGTAAAAAGGGTGGGTCCTAAGACTGAGCCTTGTGGTACACCAATGTCAAGATGTCAAAGTCAAAATGTTCAGGAGATGCGTGTTCTGACTGTTACACTTTTTAAAATATCAAACTTCATTTATTTCAACTCCTTCAAAAATCTGCTTCAGCATACTTAATTCTTCTTTTGTATCTTTTAGCTACTGTTTGGCTAATTTTAGCTTTTGCCGTATGCTTAGCTTCTTTATCAACAACTTTAGATCAGAATGCAGTAGAGGAGTATAAACGATGTGATTTATTAATTTTCTTATGTTCTCGTGTGTTGCTGCCAGGAGGTGACCAGGGCTTGTTGAATTCCTTCTTCAACAGCTGGCCGGTGGAGGACATCAGCAAACATCTGCCATTTATCTACAACCTCTGCGCCAGCACTGTCTACAGCTACCTCCCTGCTTTCCAACAGTGAGCGTGTGCACGTGTTAGTTTTTGTAGGGTTTCTGTTCTGTCTCCATCTGTTTCCTCATGTTTCCAGTTCAGCTCTTAGTGTTTTCACTCCCTGTGTTCAGCCCTTGTCTAATGGTAATCACTGCAGGTGTCTGTTGTTTGTTCCAATTAGTGTCTACATATATTCAGCTTCTCTGTGTCTTGTTTTTGTCTCGTGATTGTCCTTATGGTGTGTGTCTGCCTTCCTTCCTGTGTCCTGGTTCCTTGTGAGTACGCTGCCCAGTCAGCTTCTGCTTTTTGTGTTTTTTATCAAATAAATATTTTGAGTTTTTCCACTAGCCTCTTGTCGTCCTCCTGCACTTGGGTTCAACACTTCGTACGGCAGAACACGACAGAATCCCGAGACCAGTTCTGAACCCAGCAGGAGGATGATTACTCTGTTCGAGTTTCTGGCCCGTGAAGAAGACAAAACCGCTCGTCGAGACAAATAAATGGAGGAGTGAAAAAGAACTCAGTTCTGGGAACCCATCTGTCTGTCAAACCTGGGTCCTCAGCCTCTCAGTCTCTTCTCTCCTCACCTTTTCACCTCGCTGCTGCACCTCGCCACTCACCTCCTCCTCGCTCAACTCCTGGCTGCCCTGAACAGTCGTCCGAGAGAGGGGGGTGAACCGCTGGTCCTCCCCGAGTCCAGCGCAAGGAGGGGAGAGCTTCACAAGCGGAGGGACAGCCCAGCCCTTGGTTACCGGAGGGACAGCGGAAAATTTTGCTGGGGGGGGGGGGGTACCTGTGCTCATCAGAGGTGCAGCCCAGCCCTCCCTCGCCAGAGGAGCTGGAGATGTGGAAGTCTTCACTGGTGGAGAGGTATCTGGGTCCACCAGCATGGCAGTCCAGCCCTCACTCCACTGAGGACGACCACTGCTCCCCACAGCCAGCTGCACCTTTCTGAGACTTCTCTATTAGACCTGCCTGGCTTTCTCCTCTGCCCTGCGAGTGGGTCCAGGCAAACACTCCTTCCTCTTGTCCACCTGATGGTTTCACCTCTGCAGAGCTTCTGATCCCCGTTTCTGCAGAGGGTCTGGACTCTCCAGCTGCAGCACTGGTTCTCGACTTGTCAGCTGCATCTCTGACTCCCCCACCACCTGCTGCAGCCCAGACTCCACCACCTGCTGCTGTAGCCCAGGTCCCTGGTTCTCCAGCTGCAGCCTTGGTCCCTGGTTCTCCAGCTGCAGCTCTGGCTCCATCAGCTGCTGCAGCTCTGGCTCCATCAGCTGCTGCAGCTCTGTCTCCACCACATGCTGCAGATCTGGTCCCCGGCTCAGCTGAGGTCCTCGCTTCTGACTCGGCTGAGGTCTTCGCTCCTGGCTCGTCGGCTGAGGTCTTCACTCCTGGCTCATCAGCTGAGGACTTTGCTCCTGGCCAACCTGGGGAAGATCCTGAGTTGGCTGCAGAAGATCCCAGCCCGCCAGAGGTCTTCGTCCCTGGCCCGCCTGCAGAGCTCTTCGTCCCTGGCCCGCCTGCAGAGCTCTTCGTCTCTGGCCCGCCTGCAGAGCTCTTCGTCCCTGATTTGCCTGCAGAGCTCTTCGTCCCTGGTTTGCCCCCTGTTCACCCACGGAGGTCCTTACCCTTGGTTCTCCCCCTGCTTTGCCCGAGGAGGTCCTCGCCCCTGGTTCGGCTCTGGAGGTCCTTATCTGCCTGAGTCCAGGAGGACACAGGTGGACACCCCTGCGGGCCACAGATGACCGGTCTCCTGGCTACCTGTCGGGACCCAGGCCTGGGGATGGATGTTTCCCAGGCCACCCTTCTGATCTCCTTTCTCAATGAGGACAGTCACCGGACCTCGCGCCTGAACTCCAGACCTGCCTTGGACGGTCTCCTTACTGTCCACATTGACTCTAGGTTGGGGTCCTGGGTTTTTGTGTTCTGTGCTTCCCAGGGTTTGTTTCTGCCGTTTTTGTGCTCTTTTGGTCCTGTGTCTACTTATCCTGTTTTGTTCCGCCTCCCACACAAGTTGGATGTATCTTATTCTTGGGATGTCAGGAGCCATCTCTTGAGTGGGGGGTACTGTAGGGTTTCTAGGTTTTTGTCCTGTCTCCATCTGTTTCCTCATGTTTCCAGTTCATCTCAGTGTTTTCACTTCCTGTGTTCAGCCCTTGTCTCACCTGTGTCTAATGTTTATCACTGCAGGTGTCTGTTATTTGTTCCAATTAGTGACCACATATACTCAGCTTCTCTGCATCTTGTCTTTGTCTCGGGATTGTCCTTATGGTGTGTTTCTGCCATCCGTCCTGTGTCCTGGTTCCTTGTGAGTACGCTGCCCTGTGAGCTTCTGCCTTTTTCTTTTTGGTAAAATAAATATTTTGAGTTTTTCCACGAGCCTCCTGTCGTCCTCCTGCACTTGGGTTCAACACTTCGTACGGCAGAACACAACAGTTTTAATATACTCAGCTGAACACTAAAACACGTTATGCAAGATCAGAGTAAAAGGTAGGATATGTCATCATATTTAATAGTTCCTTTACTTACAAACAAGTTCTAGATATTTGTGCCACTATTTTTCTACTCCAAGAATGACCAGGGCTGTCTTGACCTCATTTCAAACTCAGAATTCGCTCATATACATTGTCCAGGTCTAAAAGCCAAACTCATAATGAATAGTATGAAAAAATAATCCAAGTCTGTCTTTATGCATAAAATGTACTCTAGAGGATCAAATCATAAATGTGGGGAGACAAAGTGGGCAGGGTGTGTGTGACACGGCAGAAGGTGTATACCAAAAAAAAGTGCACCACCTGAATACAGTTTTTAAGCTGTGAACACACAAAGACTATGAAAAGCACCTCTGGAACCAGCTGCACAGTTTGTCGGACATGTTTCTGTAGAGTTTTTGTCGGAACACCAAATGTTCTGGTTCTGACTCGTTCAGTCCCTTCGTGCAGTGGCGCCAGTTTAGATGTTTCTTTCTGAGTTGTTACTGTACCCCCATGTGCAGGTTTGGTCACAATGCAAAGATAGTCCACTTTGCTGGAGCAGTGAAGCCCTGGAGCTCACCGAGGGGAGACTCACACCTCATGGAACGTTTTGCGTCCTTATGGTGGAAGGAGTACCACTGGAAAGACAACCACACAACACCACCCACTCCAAAAACACAGCAGCAACAGGTACAAACCCCTCAAATCACATTCTGTCCTCACACTGTTACATATAGGGGGCATGTGCGGGGACCAAAGCCTGGTCCCCATAAGGATAAATCTCGTTGCTGGGTTAGGGGTTAGGTTTAGGACTAAGGTGTGAATTGCAGATGAGTTAGGGCTATGCATGTACTGGTAATGGTTAAGCCCCCAGTATACTGTCGCGTACGTCCATTGCGTGTATGTATGCGTGTACGTATGCGGAGGGTTCAGACTTTGTGCTCGAGCATACACCCTGAGCGGCTGCAGAGCAGCTTCGCAGACAAGGGGCGTTTACCTTCGGGACAAACTGAGGTCGTCGATTGGTCATTTGCTGACACGCCTACTGGATTTATTGACAAGTCGAGAATAAAAAAGGAGAGCTGGCAGCCGCAGCAATTTTCTGTGTTTATATGCTGTTAATTAAAAGTTCTAAAAAAAAAAAAAAAAAACAGGGAGCGCTGGCCCTGCAGCCCACACATCAGACCAGCCCACCAGGAAATCTCCAGACCCTCCCATAGTCACGCTGGGACTGATTTTAATTAACTCGTGACAAATTCCTTCATTTCTCACAATTTCAGTCATGGCATCAATGGAGGAGGAAGAGATCGCTGCCTCTTGGCAAAAAAACAAAAGAAAAGGCCAAATCAGAGATGAAAAACGGGAATTTAATACATTGGCGTCGCAAGAAAACAGTCCGTCGCCGGGCAGTTTATTGTGTGACACCGTGTAAGCGTACGCAGTCTTAAAAATTGAGCTTCGCATGGACATACCCTGCAGGGGTACGCGCGTACCTCCACATATAAGTAAGCGGGAGTATACTGGGGGTTTAAGGTTTAGGGTAAGGATTAGGGTTAGGCTATAGAAATGAATAGAAGTCAATGCAAAGTCCCCAAAAATTAAAAAATGCAAGACCATGCATGCATGTGTGGGTGGGTGTGTGCATCTAATGCAGGGCTATTCAACTGGCAGCCCGTGGGCCGGTGACTTCAGTCCAGCCCATCAATGAGGTTTTTTTTTTTTTTTTTTGGTTCTGGGTTTGGATTTTGGGTTATGTCTATTGCATTTATGGTCCAATGCAATAAAACAAACACATGTAAAAGGTAACAGATCATTGTAATACTTGGTTTATTTAAAAAAATGTCTTTAATTGCTGGATGTCTGGCCCCTGAGCTGCTGGCTTTCAGTAGCTGAGGCCCCTGAGCAGTTTTATTGAATAGCCCTGATCTAAAGAGTTGTCAGTAACACTATGTTCACACCACAATCTTAATGCTCACCTGACATTTGTGGGTCTGATGCAGTTTTCCTTTGCATGCTCGTTCAGATTCTAATTTAAACGTGACCTCCACTAGACCTCAGGATTAACAGTAAATGGTTCTGAAGACTCCCATTATACTCCAGGTTTTTTTTTTAGACTCCAGTGTTAACAGTAACCGTTAATGATGTCCTCCATTGGACTCCAGGGTTAACAGTCAACGGTTCTGAAGTGACCCGCAAAATAAACTGTGATGTCACACGCAGCACGCTTCATTTACAGAATGGGATATGGATGCTATGTTACCATGTGCGGATCAGTTCTGAAGTTGTTGTGCAATCAGAACCAATTAAATTATTATCTGACATGATTGTTTGCCTCAGTGTTTAGATTGAATCTTTCCATTTTCTGCTTTGGCCAGAGCAAAACTGCATTTGTAGAACTAACATGATGGGAACCATACTTGAGTTTGTAGAGTTTTAGAGTTTTTTATGTAAAGTAGAAACAGAGTCAAACATGGCTCCCATCACACACGGTCCGACATTAACATCAGTATCAGATGTTGCTGTAGACTCTCAGTCATCCAGGACATGGGAAATGAAAAGAACAACGATGAGGCAACTGATTCTGTAGTTAAAGACGTATCTTTATAAAGTAACCGGTTGGCTGATGTGGCACAGCTGGTCAAGGGTCCAGTCAGTCAGTCTGAGTCCAGTTTGGTAGCCTGGACACTAAAACTGCCACATATTAGACACACTCACACTGTTGTACCATTCTTGTACCCTTAGTGGAGTGTTCGTTTGTCCACCAGAGTCTGTCTTCTATATGAATGTGCTGAGTGACAGCCAATGCCTCACGGCCCCGGTGTTCAACCCTCACTGTTTGGTTTTGTCTTACAGATCTTTGAACGAGAAGTTGAGATACCATTTATACAGAACTTGGATACCTCCGGTTCACTGCTTGCACATTTCCGTCTATCTGACAGTCCTCACTCACACACTGAAGACAGCATGGTAAGCTGAGGCTCCTCACTTCTTACACTCGTTAAATCTATAGATCAAACTGGAGGCAGATACAAAATGTGAGCAGTTATGACTGTTTGTATGGGCATTCAGTAAAGAGGACAGGAAGTGGACAGGAACCAAGCAGCCTGGTCAGCACTTTGGCTTAAGCAGTAGGTGGTAATATTGCAATGTTGTATCAGAGACATGCTGACACCACTGTCAACGCTGGCTTCAGATCAACCATTTTTCAGATAGAAGTCACCTTTCATGACCTGAACACTTCAGATACGTAGAAGTCAGTGCAACACCTCACATCAAAGAAAATACATAATCTATCAATCAATCAATTTACATGTTTTAAAGCCCATCTATGCACAGAATCAACACTTAACAACGTTTTTTATCATTAACAAATTCAGGATTGGGGCAGTACGGTGGCTCAGTTGGTAGAGCAGCCGCCCCTTAGCGAGGTCGTTGGTTCCAATCACAGCCGGGGGACCTTTATGGGTGCAGTTTGCATGTTCTCTCCATGCTGCATGGGTTTTCTCCAAGTTTTCTCCAAGGACTAAAAACATGCATGTTAGACTTATTGGTAACTCTAAAGTGTCCCTAGGTGAGAGTGAGAGAGTGAATGGTTGTTTGTCTCATAAGGAGGGTCTCTGTGTCCCTGTGATGGAATGGAGACCTGTCCAGGGTGTCCCCTGCCTCTCACACAGTGACTGCTGGATTTGGGCATCAGTGACACCCGTGACCCAGAAAGGAAGAAGTGGGTAAAGATAATGGATAGACATTCAGGACTTAGCCATTATTGTGGTCTACAGTACATCTTAGTGCACCATTTGATATGGTGTACTGGGATTCTTCCGTTCATTTTCTTTATCCGTATTTTCCTTTATAGGTCTGCATTTTTACTATAGTTTATTGTTGGCATTGTCTACTGTTATTGTTGTTTGTACTTTATATGTTCTGTTTGGAACAGGTCCCTCTTGTAAATGAATCCCCGTGGCTCAATGAGGCTAGCTTGTGTAAATAAAGGTTGAATGAAAAAAGGTTGCAGGGAGCTGGTGTCTGTCTCCTCCTACTTCTCCTTTAAGCCCAACTTCTACAACTCAAATCTCTCCTACAAGTCAATCTTCAGTAAACCACACCTTTTCATTTTCACTGTTGTCTGTTAATGAGATTAATAAATTGTTATACGGTCTAGACTCTAGAAAATCTGCATGCCCTGATAACATTCCTCCTTACTTCTTAAGGCTAACCACACACATCATTGTAGAACCCGTGTCACATCTTTAACCTGTCTATAAGCCAAAACTCTGTTCCAAATGCTTGGAAAACAGCCTTTGTTCTATGTTTTTCTTAAGGGAGGTGACCCTACCTCACTGAACAACTATCGACCAATCTCTAAACTCTGTGTTATTTCTAAGGTTTTAGAAAAATTGATAAACTCTCAAGTCAAGTATATTTGGATTCTGTCAACATCTTAACTCCCCATCAATCTGGTTTCAGGAAACAACACAGCACAACCACTGCTTCGCTTAAGGTTTTTAATGAAGTTGTTGAAGCACTGGATGCTAAGGATTATTGTGCTGCAGTTTACTTTGACCTGTCTAAAGATTCTGACACTGTGGATCATGACATCTTATGCCATACATTCTCAGAAATGGGTTTCTCTGACCACACTATTGTTTGGCTCTCTAATTATTTCTCAGATTGGAGGCAATATATTCAACATAATGGTACTTCTTCCAGCTATCTAACTGTCAACAATGGTGTACCACAAGGCTCGGCCTTAGGACCCACCCAGAGCTTAATTTGTAAACTGATTGAGGCCGGGGGGTGGGGGTTGTGTCTTGGGGAACATGCATACTCACAAGACAAGAACCTGACAAGTTGTTTAATGACAGAAAATATATTTTGTTAGCAAAGAATAGAGTCTTAATATTTATTAAGCATTAGCTACTTCTGTATTTACAAAAACAAAAAAATCACATAAAAATTGTGCTTTGACAAACTTAGCAATAAAACTAAAACGTTGCCAACGCAAAAGAGGAAAAAGGGGGCAGGTATCGCTCTCGCTTTGAGTTTATACTCTTTGTTGCATGCGTGCGAATCATAAAAACAGCAGCGGAGGTGTCAGAGTTATTTATTTATCATCTCAGCAGCAAAGGGGAGCGACACCATTCAAGCATGGCTCCAAAAACAAGGCAGTCATATTTGTTCATAACTTTATTATTAGTAAGCCTGAGAGTTGCAGGATCTAAGCAAACAGTTGCCGGAAAGCACACTGACAAAATAAGAGAGTTCTCGGATCATGTTCCAGCAAGATCTGGTTCAAATTACGCAATGGACCCACCCTCTTCACAATCTACATAAATAATGTAGGTCAGACCATTCCTGATGCATCCTTACACTTCTATGCAGATGACACAGTTGTTTATTATCGAGCTAGAACAGCCGCTAAGGTTTTTCAGCTCTCAGATTTGTTCCATCTCAAACTGGTGCTAAATGTTGATAAAGCCAAAGGGATGTTCGCTGGTGAAGATTCTCAGTCGTCCAGGACATGATAAATTCAACTTCTGTTCAATTTTTGCATTGAACAGAAGTTGAATCTCTCAATTCAAAGAAACGAGGAGTGTGGGATTCAAGTTATAAAGGAATGTTGTTCTCAAACAGGAAGTCGGTACCAGCAGTCCTTCCTCCTATGAATGGTGTTCCTACTGTTTGTTGATTCTTACAAATACTCATGTATCTTGATCAATTTGAATCTCTCCTTTGAGCCTCATGTCAAAAACTTGATAAAGAAATTGAAAGTAAAACTGGGTTTCTTTTTTAGAAATAGATTTGGTCTGACTCTGAATGCTAGGAAACTCCTTGTAACTGCTACTTTCCTTCCCTCCATTGACTACGGTGACATTATTTACGTTAATACTCCTGCAAGCACCCTGGACACTGTCTATCACGGTGCACTAAGATTCATAACTGTCTGTAACTACCATACCCATCACTGCACCCAGTATTCATAGGTCAACTGGTCATCATAACTTCACACAGGCTCTCACACTGGTTCGTACCCACACAACATTCGTACCTCTCTGCTCACCACAGACTCATGTTCGGCCTGCTGTTGTTATGCTATGTCGTTTTGCATTATTAGTGTTTAGCGTATCTTAGACAGTTTGGTGTGCAGTGTGGTGTTTGTTTAGCATATATCTTAGTGTATATCTAAGATACTTATATACTGTTCCTTTTACACTTTACATTTTTGCTATTGTTGGGTGTAACTGGAACCCTGTGTACATACAGTAATTTTGTTCCACCTCATGTTCCACATGTGATGAGAATGACAATACTAGTTGAACTTGAAGCTAAACTTGGTACATTTTACTGGTACTGGCCATCATGACCCACATCAAATGTTTGTTGGAGCAGAAGGACTCCTACGTCAGTATGTTCTTTGTGGACCTCACATCTGCCTTCAACACCATGATTCCCCAAACCCTGATGGACAAAGTAATCACACTACAACTGTCCCTCTCTATGCAACTGGGTACTAGACTTCTTAACAAACAGACCACAGTCTGTGAGTATCCATGACTTCTCCTCCTCTACCATAACCCTCAGCATTGGCTCCCCCCAGGGCTGTGTGTTGAGCCCCCTCCTGTTCACGCTGCTAACCTATGACTGCGCACCGACTCATCTAGGCTGTCATATTATAAAGTTTGCAGATGATACAGTGGTGGTTGGATGCATCAAAAATGATGAGTCCAGCTACAGGCAGGAGGTGGAACATCTGGAGAGCTGGTGCAGGAAGAACAACCTTCACATTAATGTGAATGTTATGTCTACAGCTACAGCTTGTGCTCTCAAGACATCATTACATGCAGTGTACCCTCAGTGTGGACCGAACTTGGCAAAAGGGCCTTCTCTTACTCTGCTCCTGTATCCCGGAACACCTTGCTAAAACATCTAAAGCAAGCTCTCAACTTTGACCACCCTAAGGGATTTTAAACAACTGCTAAGTGCATGGCCAAAACCAAGGCAGACATGTTCCTGTTTTTAGGATTTTACATTGCCTTATAACGTAGCTGGTTTTGTGTCTTCTTTATATCATTGCTTCCATTTACGTTTCATTTTATATGCTTTTTTATGATTGCCTACTGTTGTCATCTGTGTTCTTTGTTTAAAACTTGCAAATGAGTCCTCGAGGCTCAATGAAACGAACCTGTATAAATAACGATTGAATGAAAAAAAAAATCACAGGGACACTCTGGACAGGTCTCCAGTCCATCACAGGGACACGTCGAGACAAACAAGACAAATAACCATTCACTCTCTCACCTGGGGACAATTTAGAGTTACCGTTAGGTGTTCTGATGGTTTACGGTCAGTGGGATGAAACCGAAGAGGGGGAGAACATGTAAAGTCCACACTGAAAGACCAGGAAGAGAATGTGTGGCCTTCTTGCTTTGAGATGACAGCTCTAACCGCTGCTCTGGTATCAGACATCTTCATCAATCTAATTCTAATCACATCATAACCCAAACATCTTTTCATGTCAGGGCAACAAAAACTGATGATTTGTTCAAATGTCCAGCCTTCATGAGACAGAGATACATCCTACCAGATCCACTTTTGGTTTTGAACAAATGAAAATATCAACAGATCTAGTATAGAGCTGTATGAATGGGTAAATGAGGCACAGATTGTTATAAAGAGCTCTGAGTATCTTGAAATAAGATAGAAAGGAGCTGTGTAAGTACAGTCCATTTACCATTCCATTCAAATAATACATTAGTGGGATATATTTAGCACAAAAACAAAGTTACAAAACTAATCCTTCAATACATACTGGCAATACAACCCCAAACAAAAGATACATTCAGTAATCTTCCCCCAACAGCTTACTCCAAAGTGGAACAAACCAGTTATGTTGGTG